GTCGCAAATAGTGGCGCTCGTGCATCCACTTGCTATTTTCCTAACACCACCCTATATGTATCCTCCATCTTCCGCTTGAATTAGCTTCGACATTCCAATCTTCATTTCGCTTTTTTATCCAAATGGGCAACAAAAACCGGCGCACGAAAGTGTATGGTTAATGGTTGTAAAAACTGAACTGAAACTGAAGCAGAACCATCTTGAGGTCCATTGCTGTCCCAGCGCAATTGAGATGCCAAATCAGTGGGTAACTGTTCTTCCGAAATTTCTCGGCAAATGCGACCCCTCGCGCTCAACCTAGCGGGGCGTTATGCGGTTCGCCACTCCAAGTTCTGCGGCTTAGGTTGCTGGTTACCATCACTCAACAGCAAGCCCTCGTGACTATGGGGGTCGCCCCGTCCGCTGTTCAACACACTTAGGTGTTTGCTTATTCGTAAATCTGCATCAGGAGTTTCCACACCAACTTGATTGAGTATTCTAGGACCTGACTTGATACGTCGCTCTGTAAGACTTACAAAAATCGAGCACCCGGTTGTCGAAATTCAACGTACAGAATGTAATTTAAGAACGCCCCCATCCGTTTCCTAAACGGGCGGGAAGCCACTGTATCCATACACCACCTGATCCCTGGTTCACGAACGACTATATAACCAGAAGCCTATGAATCTTCAACCTCCGAATGCTATTTTCAGTTCCCACTGCACATAGAATAACAAGCATATGGCGAGAGAAACTGGACGAACATTTTTTCAGCCCTCATTCACCTACACTAAACGGAATCCGGTAAACATCCGTTAATAAAAGCATAGGAACGCTCACTACCGCGACAACTCATATAATCTAAGAGATAAGGAAGCCCAAAACATTTTTTTATCCGCTCCTCTCAATATTCCCTTGTATTTAGCTACTCTCATCGTTGCTTGTTGAATAAAACCCACATATTGGACCTTTGACGGTTTCTGCGATCGTTACACACGTCAACTCAAACCAAATGAAGCAACAGGAATACAATCACGACGTATCTACATGCTTCCGCAACAGCATGACAAAGGTAACCGAACAAAGCCCCGATTAACTGAGTCGAATGACAGTTCGATTGAGGAAATCTGAAACGGGTGACTTGAGATGAACGAGGCAACTCAGGCACGTGAAATCGATCTTTAGAACCGTGAGGCGACCGGAGCCAGACTACAGGTCAGTGGACTGTTTAGATGATGTGTTCTGAGTGATTACTTACCGCTTGATGACAGGACGCACCCTTCGAGTCTCGTTTTCACCGCCAGAGTACTTTTTTATTACACATTCGTGTGATGAACAGCAGACGGGGTAAACCCCATAGTCAAGAGGACCTGCTGTCCCGTGATGGAAACCGGTAACCCAAGCCCCGGGACTTGGAGTGGTGGACCACATAAGGCCCCGACGGGTCAGGCGTGGTACTGACGACAGCGAAGCTGCCTACTATCGAGATACCGGGAGACCAATCAGGTATGTGCCTGGTCCATGTCCTTTATCCGCCTCTTAAAGGCACAATCGCGTTTCTGTTTGCGTCGGGAGTTCACAAGCTTTGAAACCACACCATTTCCTGATCTCAAGTTACTGCAACTGCTGTTGATTTCAACCATTGAACTTCAAAGATTGATCGCGGTCAGCACAATGAAAAGCATCTAGATCGGATACTACTATCACCTTCACGGTGTCCCCTCACTAGTCCGCATCAGTACATTAGAATCGCATTATTTTTCCTAAGCTGGGTAATCGCGTGCGTGGTCTTTTACTGCAACCGCTACAACACTCTGTAATGCGAAAACTGTGTACTACAGCCTGAGCAATCATTTTCATCGTATACGCTGGTGAGTGGAATCTAATAAGAGTAGAACACTTCAGCTGAAGGAGCGCAATGATCAGGAAATTTTCCTCAACACGTTGGTTCCCATTATTCACCCATAGTTTGCATAAACTACTGTGAAAGTGGGCCTTGACTCGCAGCTGCTCAATGTCACTTAAAACCACGCAAAAGGTTGCGATAAGACCAAGTGCACTAAGTGGCTCCTGCCAAAGCTCTACTCACAATCTTCTCATGAAGTCGTGTTCCATCGAAGTGAAAGGACTAGAGCCATCCAAGTTGATGAACCACTGCAGTCATCTTGTGAGTTGACTGAAAGCCTAATTCCAAACCAAATAAGCCTATTCATTGTGCATTCCATTTGTCTGAGTACAGACTGCACGCAAATGCCAGGCAGTGACAGTACGCATTCTAAACGACGACCACGTGGATACTGCTAGCTAATCCAAAAGGTTATGTCTATTACTTCAAAGAGCTCGGTGCACTTAGTACTGGACCCATCTTAGCGTCCCAAGCTCAGGTTCACAGTCTCAGAGAGCTTCAGTACAGTAGGGGGTGGGTCTGGAGTTGTAACTGGTCACCATTCCTTTACATCTCGTGAAATGCTTCTATGTGACTAAACGTCTCAAATAACCTCTGCTGAGGTAGCCCTACTCACGGTCTTCGCGTGGTGTTTTCCCCTCCAAAGTGAGAGGAAGAAAAGCCAATATCCGTGTTGCTGAACATTGGCAGTTCACCTAGGGGAGTTCGCTAAAAACCCTTGTTCCATACCAAGAAGAGTGCGAACCACACGCACACCTTCCTGGTTGTCAGTGGTCACTGGCTCCATTGGACATCGTGCATTGGACGTTTGACCCTATCCGGAGGGCTTATGATCCAATGAACTGGAACCGGCCCCCAACGGACTGCAGACTCTAAGCTACGTCCCGTTGTCTTGTAGATCTGGTTTTCTAGCCAAAAGCTTCGAGTGGGGACCCCGAGGCTCTTCCCCTTTTTCGGTCACGGTAATCAGGAAGTAACCTGCCCATTCAGCCTATGAAAACATTCCAAAGATTTCCACACGCTGTGGCACATTTGCCAGTTCTGTAATTGGATACGTGTTGAAATAATAATAACAGGTTCACAGGGAGCGCTGATGCTGTCACCATGCGAGCGGCAACCTGCTCATTTGGGAGCTATGCACCAACTTCAAAAAATGGAATGGGGTTCCGAGGCAGTTTCGCCGCAATCCACTGGAAATGGCAAAGGGTGGATGACGCTGGTTACAGACAATCAAGTGACACGAGGTGCAACTTTTCGAGGATGAACAGTTCTCATATACCCTATTGCTTAACAAACAGTTCCACGGCGGTCTTTCGTTTAGCAATACCCGAAGAAAACCGTTATCAAATAATCTGAGAATTTTAAGGGAAGTCAGAACAGGACGAGGTATAAGTTAGTCCAAGTGTAGGCGAATCATCGATGGATCCGTTGAGTCACTGGAACTCAGAAAAGCAACACTTTACCCAGACAGACGAACTAATTATGTTACGTATGGTCTATATTTGGACACAATACAAAACTCTGCGCATATTAAAACGTAAACGACTTGGTAGTCGTCCATAAACATGGAACGGTGGCTCAAATGATACGATAACAGACTGGAGGACTTCCTGTCAGGGATCCTGGACGAAGCTGGCAAAATCTTTCTGTAATCATTAGACAAGACACGAATTCAGCACATCCACCTTTCTTCAGTCACTGGAAAAGCTGAAATAATATGCTTGACTATGTTGCGCCAAAAGCTTATTCAATGGGTCGAATAAGTTCAAAGTAAACATAGCATTAGTACAATACCTCCAGCAACGACCGGTAAGAACCATAAAATATAGCGTCGGAAAAATCGCAACCACTAACAGGTGAAACCAAGATTCATATAACTAGAAAGTATCGAAAGACCGCAGTAGCACAATAGAACAATAATACCACTGGGTGCAAAATTTATTAAATCTCAAGCAGATGGTACAGCAATCTCGCCTTTGTCCACCCGTTCGATAATGGTCTGTGGTGGCTCCCCATCGACCGTGCATCCTACAGAACGTGCAGTTCCAAGAATTTCCTTAACGGTTCCGGAAAGCTCCCGAGCCATACTCCTTGGTCGCATGATGCGGGCGACCTCCAAAACATCATCGAAGGAAATATTTCCATTGTGTTTGATATTCTTCACTTTCTTCTTGTCCCGAGGAGGCTCCTTGAGTGCTCGGATTACGAGGGACGACGCAGTGGGAATAACACTGACCTGCGCCTGACGATTTTGAATCGTCAATTTTACTGTAATTCGTAGTCCCTTCCACTCTTGCGTGGCTGACGCAATATCTTCCCCAACTTTCTTCGGGGACAGACCGAGGGGACCAATTTTAGGAGCTAATGCGGAAGTTGCTCCAACTTCACCACCAGTAACCCGGAGATAAGCTGGCAGATCGAACTGTCAATTTAGTCAAAATACGACTTACTGTATGTAACGGCTGTTGGGTCAAGTTTTGGAGGCATGGCCTAGAGGGACGTGATACGGACCGAAGTGGCGCTCGACCAGTGGAGTCGGTTTAAACAAACTACGATAAGTAAATGGGTTCAGGTCAGGTCGGGTTGCACGGAACTGATGGCAGCCACAGGCCAATAAAGCGTCCAGAATTGCTCCGGGTGTGTGCTCACTAGTGTGTGTCCACCTCTGCGATTGATCGGTTCCCCCTATCTTCATGATGAGTTGGCGCCAAGTTGAAATGTTTGATGTAATGAAAGCATTGATGGTATGTATTACGAGTACGAAGGTATACAGCTGTGAATGTTGTGCCCACGTGCAGCAGAGGGAGGGTGTTTGATCCCGAGTCAGTTTCTTAGGGTAGAAAGATTCCACGACGTCGCACTAACAAAGTACCGCACGGGTGGACGATAACTCTGAGATAAGAAGCAACGTCTACCTCGCCCTAAGCCATCTAGGTTATTGTTTTTAATAAAAAAAGCCCTGTAGAATGCCAGGTGCAAGATGTAAAAGCGGCAAAAGATTGCCGATCGACGGATACGAATAAAAAATGTCTTTGGCCTTTGGCAGGCCAAATAGGACGTTCTTTT